ACAAAGAATGGGAAACTAGAGATTATTATAAAGGATTGAGTTGCAAGGGATATCTATAGGGGAAATTGTGGAAATCCTCCCAAACACTTTCTATCTCCACTATTGTGATATTCTATATTTTGAATCAAATAAATAAATTTTTTAGGATTTATTTTAAGTCAAATATGAAAATCATTTTCGCCATACAATAAATATTATTATTTTTAATTATACTAATTCTTTCATAATTTTTGGGCACTTCATGTGTTCATTTTGTAAATTGATTTTATCAAAAAAATTTAAATAAAATAAGTTATTTTATGGAAATTTTTATATAATTTTTAAAATACTTAAAGAATTTATATGATTTTTATACTTAAAGTTAATTATATTATATAATTATATATAAATATTATATTATTATTTTATTAGAAAATATCCTAAGTCACTAATAGTCAAAAGCTTTTTAAATCCATTTCTTTTCCTATTTATTTTCGACTAACTGGGACTTAGGCGAAGGAATTAAGAGAGAAAGAGAGAAGAGAGAAAAAGAAACATAAGATTTGGAGGTCGCGGAGCGACTTTTGTCAACCAAGCTAGTTGAAAGATTTGATCGTCTCGTATAAGGAACAATTATCTTATCTCTAATTTTATTTATTTTAAGTTTTTGATATTTTTATGATCAAATCTATAATTTTTTTACCAAAAAATAAGAATAATTCTCTAATAGTAAAACTTTTACCTCATAACTTTTGATATGTAATAGATCTCATCAATATAAGCATTTTGACAGGAATATATTAAATTTTCACAGGTTAAATTAAAAGATATGATTTTTTGAAGTAAATACATATTTACCAAAATTTGATAGTTTTCCTTGTATTTATATATTTGTGTATTTAATATATGATATTGACTTACATGCATAAAAAAAAAGATAATTTTTATATATAAGCAAGCAAGACTAACTATTAATACTATAATAATGAATATGGGTTGAATTTTAAAATATAATATCCTACGTAGGATGGTGGGTTGATAGGCTTTCATTAAATAAAAAGTTGATGGTGTAATCTATGTTATAGCTTGTAACTGATTGACTGAATTATACCGACGAATATAGGGTGTAGATTCTTAAATGATTATTAAAAGTCACCTATGAAGATAAATGATTAAAAAAATAAATAAAAAATAAAATGAGTTTGACAGGTTAATGGCTATGACATATAACAGATGTACAAAAGAAAACAACACATTAAAGTTGCATGTCATGCCTTGCTTTTTGTAATTATACTCATGATAAAATTTACATGATAATACCTTAACATGATTGATAGTATATTAAATTGATTGACAGATTGATAGTTCATACTAGCATTAATATTGATATAATATAACATAATATATGAGCATGACTTATTAGGCAACTTTATTGATTTTTGAGATTTTTATTGCTCATATTAGTGATGATTGATATTTATTGGAATAGAATAAGTATATTGAATATTTTATCTTACATTGAAAAAAGTGATAGAGTTTTGATTACTTGTTTAACTTTTTAGCTAATTATATATTAAGGATTTCAGGTCAGGACCAATTAGAGTGATTGTCAGATATCCTCATATTTTTTTTAGAATTTTTTTTGCTTTTTTAATATTCTTTTGTAGTTAGGAGCTTGTGATAGATTAATGATTGTAATAATCTCCTAACTATTATATTTGATTTTGGGAGAATGAATATGGTGTAATACTTTGAGATACATAATTGATAGGTGTTTTCGTTAGTTATTATTTATATGGATGATTTATAGAAGCTTTGGTTTATTAATTAAGAAGATAAAATATATAATTTTCTCAAATATAATTATAGGGCATTACACAATATGTTTGATAGGGCCATTATGCTTATGGTGTTGCCCTTTCAAGTTGCCCCCGGTCTCTTTTTGTATATCTACCCTCTTTTGTACCTAAAATATGCCTTTCTTTTCCAATTATTCCTAGCAGGTAATATCATCACTAGAGCTAGGGTATGACCTATCACTAATGATAACAAGACATGACATTTTGGGGTGTGTTTTGTTAGGTGAGTATATCGATAATGCTATAAGAAGTTATGTCTTAACATTGATGTTGGCTAGGCGAAGATTATTTGGGCATTTATTTGAGTGGTGTTGAAAGGAATGGTGGCTTATCAGGTTTTTTGTTTGCTCATATAGGTTGTTAAATCTAATAGAATTGTACTAAGGTTAACCAAGAGAGGGGGTGAATTGGCTATTTAAAAAATTTATTGAATTTTAGAAAACCTTTCTAAATATTATGAAATATATAAACACTAATCCTAAAATATGTAATTATCTATAGAGATGATTTCAGAGATAATTTTCCAACCACAAAATTTAAAACTAGTAAAAAAATACGGGAAAAATAAAATTAACAGAAGAAACACTTACAAACTCTCCTTTTACACTCACAACAAGACAGAGAATCCCTTACAAACTGTCTTCCACCAATCTGATGCGGTAGAGAACCATCACGTCCTTTTTAAACCTCATGTTGAAGGCATAGTACGTACTCATCATTTTTCACCCTAATAATGAAGGCAGAGACCTGTCACATTCTTTTTTACCCTCCTGGTGAAGGCAGAGTACCTACTCATCCTTTTTCACCCTCATGGTGAAGGTAGAGAACCATCACTTTCTTTTTCACTCTCTTGATGAAGGCAGAGTACATACTCATCCTTTTTCACCCTCCTAGTGAAGGTAGAGAACCGTCACATCCTTTTTCACCCTAATGATGAAGGTAGAATACCTTGTTCCAATCTTAAAGATCTTCTCTCAAGAACCTCCAAAGAAGTTTAGTAGAAACTTGAAGAAGACAAAAGAGATCCTCACGTTGGGCAACCATGTGAATCATTCACAACTTCCCTTCACTTGATCTCTCACTCTTAACTAACAAAATCTCTCCCAAACACACTATCCAAAAGATCACTCTCAAGAGAAATTCAAAGCAGATGATATGATGACCGTTTTTAGGACTTCGTATATAGAAACTACATGAAAAATCATCCAAAAATTGAAAATTGTAAGTCAACCGACTTAACTTCATACTGTACGATCTACGATTGTACAATACGATTAGTTCAAAAAATTAGGGCTTTGTTTAGTACGAATTAGGATGAACTTAGTTTCGTACTCTGTTAGTCGTCTGTACGAATTTAGAATGTATTATACGAATAGTTCAAAAACAAATGTATTCATATGGTACAACCAAGTACGATCCTACTTTCGTATAATGTCAATCATTTATACGACCTGGCATCATATAGTACGTATGAACATTTCAAAATGAACTAATTCATATGATACAACCAGAAATGAATGGAATTTCGTACTCTATCAGTTGTTTGTACGACTTGACATCGTATAAAAGAAATAATTCAAAATGAACTAGTTTGTTTGTTACGAACAGGAATGAGAGAAATTTCATACTTTATCAATCGTCTGTATAACTAGACATCGTACATTACGAACTATTCAAAAATTTTAAGCCTTGATTTGATTAACTGTAATCTGGAGGAAAAACTATCAAATCGTATAGTACGATTAAACATCGTATAATACGGTTAGACTTAAAAAAAATTACAACTCTCCCCTGTGTATGTGCACAGTTACCCAATTACATTCACTATTGCTTAGACTCAAAAAAAAAAAAGAAAAAAAAAAAGAAATATACAGGCTTTATTACATGACATCTTATTCTACTCTTATCTTGAAGTCTTCAGTAGTCTGAAGTAGTAAAATGAATTTTCTGAAATATTAGTACACACAAAAATAACAAGAAATATCCAATTCATGCTAGGAGAAACAATAAAATCATCATAACAATAATATTTTTTCTATCATTGAAAAAATCACATTCTTAATCTTGTTTCCAATAATCTTGACATGCTAAATGTGACTCAAATGTGATTTACTATGATCTGATATGCTATATGTCCATTGGCAGCATCAAAGGAATGTCCTGAATCATGTTGGAATTATAATGAATCAAGCAAACATTACAAATAGCTTTGGGCATAGGACCATTATAGAGGTTTCTTGAGATGTCCCATGTTTGGTATGAACTAAGGTGATGGACAGTTGCTCTTAAAGGCTTCTCTCAAGGCAAGTGATAAAAAAATGTGAGTCAGATGATGATAGTGTTGATGAATGCCACGTGTAGGCTCGTGATAGCTTCATAATGAGCATGGGATTCTCAAGGTTATAATAGGTTCATTAAAAAAAGATTGAATATTCTTTAAGTTTATTATTATTTTTTTTAATTCACATATTATTTGATTAGGCAAAATATTGATAGCGTTGTATCTATTTCAAACATTTATATTTTGATTGATTGTTTTTTATGTTTAGATATAAAATATTACAGCTCTTATATACTCTATTATGTTAGGATGGTAGAATTTCTTAGTGATATTTTATAGTTATTGGATTATACTTTGATTTATCTATCTTAGAACTTCATGCGTTATCAGTATTATCATTTGATGTGATAAAGCAATTGGATTATACATTGTTGCATCTATTAGGGATAAGCCTTATTTGAATTAGTTTGAATCCAATTCAAATATAGTTTAAAACAATTCTAAATCACATTTGAAAATTGTTTGAATCATATTGGACGCATATTTAAATCATACTTGAGTCATGTTAAAACAATATTATAATTTCATTTAAATTTTTTTTTTTTCATTTTGGAAGGATTTTAAATAAGTAACGCGTTCTAAACTGAGATATTTTTCTACGCAGCTCATATCTACGATTTGTTGGTTCAAAATTTTAACTATTAATTAAGAGATTTTGAATTCAAATTTGATATATGTATTGCATGTATGTATTTGTCTTAATTGTAATAAAAAAAAAAAGAGTAAAAGATATTTTTCGTCTATTTTTTTTTGGTGGGGGAAGATATATTTTTCCATGAAAAAAATCATTGCATATTTCCCGAATTAGGTGCCCTCTGCGCCCGACCTCGACGGCCTAGGTCTTACTCGGGAGGTAGGGGATGGTCGACCTTTGATGCGGGCCATCTCCGGACTCCGGTCCTATACACGACTTCTCTCGACAAACTTTGTCTCCTTCGATCGGTGAAACATCGAAATCCCTAACCCTTCTTACTCGATTATAGTCGCAGGATTAGAACAAACCAGCTTAAAAAAATGGACGGTTTCTCTCGCCACCAACCGCAGCAGCACGGCGGCGGAGCATTCTGGTATTCATCTTCCTCTTCTCCTCCGCCGCCGGCAGGATACCATCCCCCGCCGCCACCAACGCACCTGGCGCAGAACCCACCTCTCCCTCCCCATCTTCCTACTTACCACCATCAACCGAGCTACGCAAGCCAATTGCCTATCACTCCACCTCCGCAGCATCAGCTGCCGCAGCCGTGGTTTCATCAACAACAGCAGGCTCCGCCGAACTACCCTCCGCCGAACTACCCTGCGCCTTACCATGGCCAACCTGGACTACCCCCTTATCCTCAGCCTCAGCACCGCTACCCTCCTCCTCCTCCTCCTCAGCCCCATCCCATGGCCGTGCCTCCTGCCTATCCTCCCACCGTGCAGGTAAATTAATTATTAGTCATTATTCGGCATTTTAAATTGGTAACGTCAGGCCAGTTATAAACATGTATCATAAATACTACAAGATGAGACATTTATCATTGTATGGTTGATTGAAAAATGATATTGCTTAACGACAATCGGTCAGAGACTGGAATAAGTTCTGTTTAATCATGAGAAATCGGATGATTCAGACTTTTTTTACTCCTGTTTTGATTTCAGTGCCTCTATAGTAACCGATGCAAGAACCTTATTTCATTTTTCTGTTTGGGAAACTGTGGGCTCTGTGCAATTGTAAATGCATGACTTCCCTTTAAGCTATTTAATGTTTTTCTAAAATTCTCTGCTGCATATGGTTAAAATTGAAAATCTCAGGTGGAATAGTGCTCTGGCATTGAATAACACTTGGTTGAACGATCAAATGGTAGATAGTTTGATTAGTGTTTCTTGACCAGTTGAGTACTCCGTCAGCCTATTAAGAACTCCGCATACTGAGGAAAATTTGTGAAGCATTACCCTCTTTACTTACGAGATGATAATTTCGGTGCTTCCTATTAAGAAGGTTTCTTCTTGGTTGTAAGGATGTGGAATGGAAAATAATCATTTGGTATTTATCATGTTTAGATTAGTATTCTTTGGAGCTCAGGACTGTTTTGAAGTAGAAAGGAAATGAATGGCTTATCAAAGGGTCTCTCTTACAATTATGTACAGCTTTTTGTTATATGTTTAAGTATGTTTGATGGCAGCTTAGCATTTACAATGAATTTTTTTTTTAATTCTTTTATTTATTTATTTACAATGGATTATGTCCGTGCTAGAGAACCATGTTTTCTTTTTCGATTATCTATTTATATGATTATTATTTACAAAATAATCTAGTGCATACTCATATCTTTTGTCAGCTATGTTTTCTGAGGGAAGCGTTTATTATGTAGGAAAATTAATATAATGCTTTTGTTCTTTTCATTCTAATTTCATCGTATGTTTGCAGGCATGGGGAAACCCATCTTGGCAAAATCATCAATTATGGGAGTACCCAGGTTGGTTGTTCTATGGTTTGCCTTTTAACACATTAGTTCAGTTTATATATATATATATATCTGCACATTTCTAATGAAATAAATGCTGCATTGCCTCTTCAAATACCTATGTGTAATCAACCTTTATTACTACAACTTATGGCCATACAAGTAAATTTAAATTTTATTAGATGATTTAAGATCTTGTTGAATTATTCTGAGTGTTAAAATTCGTCTTAAATTCATTAACAAAAAGAGCAAGAGAAAGTTATAATTAGATAAGATTTTTGTGCTTCTAAATTGACATTGGCTACATAGTAGACAATGCAATAAATGATTAATAATCAAATGATGTTTAATTTGATTTTCCTTTTTTATGTGGCTAAGGAAGCAGTTATCTAAAAGGTGGTGTATAGTTGAATTTGCAAAGTGATCGCTAGGTACCCAAAACCAATTAGGACAACTTCAAAATTATGTAGTTATGTATGTATACGCTACAACCACACAAATCTATAGGCCATTTAGATGCAACTTTGTTTAAAATCCTTTTTCGTCATATCCTTTTAGTGGAGAGAGCTCCTTTTTCTCAATTAATGTTAGTCATTTGTCTTGTCCTTTTAGCGGATAGTGGTTTTTTAACCTTTCAATTAACTTAAGCGCTCAAGAAGGCGAAGGCAAAATCAAATATATTGAGTTGACTTAGAACATAATGGTTACTCAAGAACCTATGATTTTTTTTTTCTATATGTATAGAGGTCAAATATTACCAAAAGATAGACTTTGATGCCAACTATCAATGTTCATGCTTTAACTTGTACCATTTGAGATTTTTTTTTTGCTCTAAGTGTTTTATCATGTATATTAAGAAAACTTATTCATATAATGTCACAATCCCAATTTGATCTTAGGATTGGTTGACTTATTCAGTTATTCTCAATATATTGGAATTGAGGATTAAGGTAATATCCAACAACATGCAAATGATGATGGAGCTAAAGTTCCCATTTTCTCATCAATGATATCCAAAATTTCCTGTAGCTATGGGAGCTCCAAAAATTCGCACCTCAGCCTCTCTGTGGACCCTTTTATTTCTATTCCGTTTTCGGGTCATTGAGGAGAGTTTTAACGTTTAAATTATGAGGTAAATTTTTAGAAGGCATATTGGGTTTTAAATTAAGATTTTACCAAGAAATTTCACCCTCATTTAGTAAAGGCTTTATGATATGAGTTTAAGTTTCTTGTAGGCGCAAGCCCCTATAGTTAATTACCCTTCGTGATAGGGAGAGATAACTTTCGATTAAGGCTAATTGTCAAACATATATGTAGAGATACATGTTATATGGTGTATAGTAGTAGCATGGGTTTAGCATTTAAGAATTTGATATTTAAAATTAGAAATTTCATCATATTTTACTTAAAGTGAATGATGGGGGGGAATGATGGTGAGCTCGATCAAGATCGCATGGTTCCGTCATCCTGGGCCATCATGGTCCCTGGTTTACCTAATCAGGGGTAGTCGACCCAACCTGACAGAATAATCCTTATTGGCAGCCATGGGTTGCTTTGTCCAAAGGTACTTTGTAGACTTGGGATAAATATTTATCTAAAGGGACAAATTTGAATCCACCTTAACTAATAGAGGGCTTTGCATCCTATCGATTATATCTTATTGATTTATTGTTTAATGATTTAAAGCCGTTGGGAACATACGGGCTCTTAAACATGACCGTAGTTTAATGGTGTCATTTGGCTACAAAACCACCCGGTTCTGAGGGTCCTGGTCATAATTGTTTACCTGCGGTGATTTCGTGAGGGTTTGGGAGGTATTTTTAAATACTTGGGGGTCCCCTTCGGTTGAGATTTTCAGCCAATACGGTCATCATCGAGGTGATTATGGACAATTTTGTCTTATTGGTTGAATCTTGTCAACTTTGTCAACTTGCCGACATATGATAAAGTTTGTTGTCGGCTTTATATTTTTATTATTGAATTTTCCTTGTAATGGACCTTAAAGGCGTAATATAAATGTATGAAATAAATATCTCAGTCGGTATCGTGACCGTATATTTATTTAATAATTTGAATCGTGTCGACTTCTATCTATCCACATAGAAGGATCGGACTTGGACATAGGTTCATTTCTTGACTCGCGCAACATTCTCAGACGTCACGTGCGTAGCTATGACACGCTCGTCGGGGCCCATGCAGGTATTTAGTTGAAATATGTATGCATATAACATGAATGCGTTAGTGCGCATTTCAATACATATGAGTGTTTTTGCAACATTCAACTTGCACTAATGACTATTATTGAAAGATGCGATGTGTTTCATTTGGGAGCCTATAGACGCCTTCTGTTTGCTTGTACGGATGTTACGGATCCGGTGGCGTGGCATTACATTGTAGATCACTTGTTGCTTTATGCAGGTATATTGTCATGCACTAACAAGTCTGCTGCAGCCTCTCATACATGCTTTCATTCACAACAGGATTCTGTGCTTGTTGCAATCTTCTGGTTCATGCCTTCCACCGTTATCTGCAGGCAAATTACACTGAATGCAAATCATCTAGTGTTGTTCGTAGATAGGTTGATGTTTGCATGATGGGTCATTTGCCTTTATTTGCAAACATGGCTATCGATCACTTGTTGCTTCCTACAAGTATGTTGTTATGCATTATGAGCTTCATTGGGTTAGCAGTGAGACATTCCCAGCATTGTTCGTAAATGCTCGCATTTATCAGAACATCTTATGTATTTGCTTGAAGATAACACATTGTGTACGTGATGGGTCTTCTACAACAATTCATGGGTACTTGCATTTGCTGCATGTCATTCGCCTCTGTCTGCGGGGCTTAATGTTTTTTTGCCTGATATTTAATGATGGTCACCTGTAAGGGTAGTACAACATTCACTACCTTTTGCTGCAACTGCCCGTAGGTATTTTTTGTGCACTGTAGATATATTATCTTTGTTTGTAGATGATGTGTTGTGTGTTCACATTCACAAAGGACCCCCATCCTTGCAACACATCCTTCATCATTACTTGCATGTCAATCGGTATGTCCATTTGTAATTTGACGTTGACTATATGAGGGTGTTCTTGCAATCATTGCATGTTGCTAGCCACCACTCATAGGCATACTACTGTGCATACAACGAATCTTCCATTGCTTCCAGTATTTGTAGCCCTTTGATTATTTATGAACATGATTGCGGCAAGTATTTCACACATATTACTATCATTTGCAAGTGAGTGTTTCACGTCATCGCACTTTGATTTTCAATGTTTGTAGGTGCACCACCGACAGATGTTTGCATTCATCATATGTTGCACTATGTATATTTGTTCGTGGCTTTGTTGTTTGCAAATGAGTTGGTGTATCCATATGTGTACTGGTGTTGACTACTAGGTGAATTGCATTCATCGCATATTTTCTCTATGCACATTAACTGGAAGAATGTTGTGTTCATTTGCATGTCTCTTACTGTCATCTCTATATCTTATTTATGAACGTGCTATTGTGTACATTTCACTCATCTTTTCTTGTTTATAAGTTGATTGATGGGAGCATTTTAGTTGCTGATGCTAGTAAATGAGTTATAATATTCATTGAATGTCTCATATTAATGTATGGGTATTCATCTCATTATTCACCATTTGTCATTTACTTTGTTCCTTGATGTAGTTAAAGAAACAATGTTATCATTTGTCATTTATATTTTCAGCTTGATCGTGCATTTATTGATTTAATGTCTAGTTCCCTGTAGTTTAAAATTAGGTCACTTTTTTGAATTCCGACAGCATCTCGGCGCCTCCCCCGTTTAGGAGAAATTCTGAGAGTCGGACATTCCCTATTTCGCTACGAGAGTGCGTAGGATAGGTATCGAGTGACATCGCGGTCGTGATCTTCAATCTATGATTCACTAACACTTCTCCTCAAAGGGGCGTGCAGTGTCCGACACGTATCTGACACGACACGCATCTGAGACTCCAATATGTGAGGCACGACAAAAATTTATCCGATTAAAAAAATATTAAATACAAATTACACACGTGTTTTAAATATTTTATGAATTATTATTTATTATTAAAAAAATTTTATTTAAAATATAAAAATTAATTATTTTATTTCCAATCCATAACACCAAATCATTTGCCTACACTCAATACTCCATTTATCAAATATTATCATTTTTATTTGTCTTTTGCGGGTTGTGACTTTGGTTTCACAACATTGCCTGATGTTATCTCAACATCGACATCTGACATCATTACAATATCGACATTTCAAAACCATCACCACATCTAAGTCTAACAGTCTTGACATTGATGCTTGACGTTGGCAATTTCTACACCCACAACTTGACAAAGCTTCTTTGTTTGATATTTTTTTAACATTGATGACCAACACCCTGTCAACATCAATGATAGATGCCCTCTTGACACCGACACCCGATACTTATTGCATAACATTGATGCCTGACTCTCAACAACATTGTTGTTTCCTCTCTTGATGCCTAATACACGACATCGACGCCCGATACACGACATCGATGCCCAACTCTCGGCATCCTAATATTAATCATTTTAAGCACAAATTCTAATTAAATGACTTATTATATTTGAATTATTTTTAATATTATACTTATTCAATTTTTATCCACAATTTCTAAAATATAAAAATTATAATACTGTGTCCAACTCGTGTTCGTATCCTATATTTTCAATAATTGACGTGTCCCGTATCCGCGTCATGTCGTATCTGTGTCCCTGTGTCTGTGCATCATAGTCTTCAATCCTATAACACTACGAGAGCGCGTAGGAGACTTCGAGGTACCTGTTTTAAAGATACGCAATTTTTCTTTTCTCGTCGGCATTGAGGCATGCACATGTACTTAATGTTGTCCCCTTCACGCTACGAGAGCTCTTAAAGGCCTATTTGCCTTGCTGCAAGCATTGCACCGGGTTTTCTCCCACCACGCAACGAGAGCGTGTAGGGTGGTCCCCAGCGCGCCGTGAGCGTCGAAAATGAAATTTGGAGGCTTCTTGCGTTTGGAAAACATTATACCTTTGCGGGCAATGGTGACGATGGTAGTGTCGAGGGCACGAATGACCACTGGATTTATGATCAGCGCCGCCACTGGATTCCAGCTCATGATTTGGGATGAAATATTTCTTCGATCCGCGGACTTTGGTCGAAGTTAGCCTCCTCCTTGGGTGGGGTTGGTGAGCCACGGGATCCCCTGAAGGATTCTCCAGGGTGTCGTTCTTCGAGCTTGTCATCACTATAGGTCTTATTCGGGGCCCACTTATGATGATTTTTGTTAGCAGGTGCGGATCTTCGGGAAATCGCACCGGATGTCAAGCCCGCATTTGGTCCTTTAGATTTTTCCTTTTTATGAGGCCTTGACTTCCAGACTTTTTCCTTTCCACCGGGATTTTTGGCGATGGATCCCTAAACACGCAGTTCAGGTGTCACACCCCAATGCTCAACAAGTGGGAGCTTGTTTGTGATTTTCTTTGAGTTACCACGGGTGACGACTTCCGTAGTGGAATTCTCCTGGCCTCGATCACCAAAGGCCATCAATATTTCTTCTTCTTCAGCTCCTTATCCTTCACTGTCTTCAGAACCTGATATACTTGGGCATGCAAGGTCTCGGGCTCCTTTATTTAAGGAGCTAGGGCTTAGGGTCATTGGTCCCAAAATGACATTTTCAACTTGCCCATGGAGCTGTTCCTTTTTACCCATCTCAGGCTAGCAAATCCGTTCCAGGTAGGAGCGGTTGCTTCTGCCTTGGGTTCTTTTGCTTCTATTGTTGGAGGGATAGACAAGCAGCAGTTGCTGAGCTCAGACAAGCATGTTGGAGGAGGGGATGACGATGGTGGTATCGATGGCGTTGGAGATGGCCAATGGTGGCAGTAGGGTTGGTGAAGGCCGGTGAATGCTTGGATCGAGCTGACAAAAGTCTTGGTCTCGTTGGCATGCGTATATATGTTAGGGTGTTAGGGTAAGTGTTATTAGGATACTAATATTTAAATATTATTTATATTAAAAAAGTCTATAAAACTAAGTGGCGCGCCTCACAATAGTTGAGTTGTACACCTGACCTGAACTTCAGAGCATCTCAACGCATTTGAGTCCGCATTGCGCTGAGGAACACAACAAGGTATGCCTCATATTGCGCAATTCTAAATAGTGATTTTGATATTGATAATGATAACTTATATTGATCTTGTATTTCTGTGCTGTTATTTTATCTAGAGGAGCAAAACTTTAAATTCAGTTGGTTTTGTAAGCCTAATGAAACTAGTAAACTCTATAGACATAACTAAGCGTGTACAAAAGCAGTCGAGCACATTTGTGGTGCCCCTATGGCTGTGTGGTCTTCATTTCTTTATTTTCAGGTTTTTCTTCTTGGACCAGTTCTGAATGGTATGTTGTACTCCATAGGTTATCATGCCTAGTACAGTTTATGCTGTCATGATAGAATATCCCAGAAAATATGATGGCATTATCTGGTATCATAGCTCATGTTAAAGGTGCAAATTATGACATCGGTGCTATACTTTTGTACCGTTGGTCAAGTGTGATATTGTTGGATTTTACTTATAAATAGTTATAAATTAATACTTTCATACATCTCATTTTATGTTTCCTGTGTTCTTCAATTGAACTTATGCATGCTCTTTGGCTGTTTTTGGTGTTTGTAACTGTGGCGTTAATTACAGAGAGAAACATTCACTACAGTAGTGAGGAAGATTGGGCTGCAAAGGCGAGAGCATGGGCTACTGCTGATTCAAGGACAGAAAATCATCATGCACGATCGCAGTTTACCCCGCTTGGAAGGATGGATGAGCATGAGTATGCTTATCTTGATCACTTACCAAAAGTTGTTGCTCCTGCTGTTGATAACCAACTACCACTACCGCCACAATCAAGTAACAGCTGTTAATAGTTAGGATGATGGATCCTACGAGAAAGGTAGAGCATTTTAATTTTTTCTGATGTTTAAGTTTTGTTTTTCTTTCATATTGTTCAGATGGACGAGCATTGTATAATGAACATGAAGCTGAGGCCAGGGACACTGGCCATTTGATTTCCCCACCGAGAATCTATTATCCAAGTTCATCCATATATGAGCAGGAGGTACCTTATACTTATTCTTCTTCACAAGGTAATGGACCTAATGGTTCACTTAGCATTTGATTTTTATTGTTGAAAGCATTAGAACCTGCAAGAGGTGCTTGGTTTTTGGTTTCCCATGATAATGAATTATGCCAAGTCTTTTATTCTAGCTATTTTGAATGCATGAAAACACATTTTTAGGTGTTTTGATCTGTTATGTTTGGCTAATCATTCTTTTTATATGCAGGATTATTATAAATTGTTCTACTTTAGCACCGAAATATTTGATGTAACCTTATATTTTAATCAATTTAATTACATGAAATGCAGCGTTTAAATACTGGAATGTTAGAATTTATTCACATCTTTTTGCTTGTCTTGCTTTAAGGCTTTGTAAGTTTAATAGTTAGCTTCGTAAAACAGCCAGAAAGCTTTCTTTCAGTTTCTTTAATGAAAAGACTTGACCCCCATTGCAAAACGTTAAGGAACTCATGAAAATTTCTCTTTAGAATTTCATAGAGCCAAAAAGGTTCCTACTTATTACATTATATTCAACATGTATAAGCCACCTTTGGCACATCTGCTTTACGGAAATACATTTTAGAATCTATCTTATTTATCCAATGTTTTTAACAAATCAAAATAGTTAATTAAATGAACTTATAACTTTATTGAATGAGCGATTGCATATAAACTAACTGGGTATGTGTCGCTTGATGATTGGGGAGAGCATGTTCATTTGGATCATGGTTCATGGATCCCTCTAAATTGGTTGTCGTCTATCTCTCCTTGCTTGACCGACTCAAGTTGAATCTATATCACAGATGTGCGAAACTGTTTGGTATTAGCTTGTAATTTACGTTATCAACTTGGGCATGCTGAGCTCTCTTTGGAGAGCTGAACATTTTTGTGGTCGAGTTGTTCTGATTATTTTTGAGCTGAGTGGATTGTGATATGTGTTATTGTATGCCATCCTGAGAGAGTAAGCTATGCACCTAAAACCTATTTAACTAAATTAATGTGGCATTTTGGTCTCTTTATTAACACATGTATGGTCGTATGGACATAATTGAATCTTGATAGGTGGACAGATTGATGACCTGCCGTTAGTTCCCTCTGTTTTGATTCCTATTTAGTGTGAAACATCATCTTTCATCTTGAAGTTTTTCTTACGATTAGATAGCCTTTGAGCTTTGATAAAGCCTTGTATGTGAAGAGAGATTTATGCAGAAAGAACAAACTGAAGCATTGTGATTTGCCTTACTGTATCCTTCTCTTGCAGTGGCACCTTCTTTTCCTATACCCCTACAAGTGATTGTTGCGGATGTTATTGATCTTGTGCTTCTCGTTGAGGGGTGGAATGCGACAATTGTGTTGATAGCATCTATAGAGGATGACGATCTTCAGTTGATGCTATGGGATGAAGAGAGCTGTAGAAGGAACTGACCACCGAATTGGTGCCTAAGTTTTGCAACGTGGCTGTAATCAATTTATTGAGATTTTAGAAGTTTAGAAGGACAAGCAAAAGTTTTATACGTCTAACCACTCAACGGAGAAGATCAATGAAATCCATCTCGCTTGTCACAAATAACTGTGGTCTTATGGTTGGATTTAGCTATGGACTATGCTGATGGAAGGTCCAGTCGGCAAATGACTTTGCCATAAAACTAACCTTTTTTACAATTCTTAACAAACTATTCCACTTGGTTGAAAATTGGCCAATTATACTCCAATTTCTGGCTCCTCTTTGCTAGTGTATATTCCACTGAGTGACTGCTACATTCTTCACTATGAATTTCTTTTAAAACTTTAGAATATTTCAGGGAAAGAGGTGTGTTAGGTTGATTGTCGATTAATATTTTTGGAATATGAATATATTTAAGATGAAATACATTTCTGCAATCTGCTTTAATATCCTAGCTTCACTTTTGGCACTCGATAGCTTTTTTGCCATCAACAGTTGAAAGTAAGAATGAACCAATAGTTGAGATGATCGATCTGCTTGAGTCGGGCTTGTCAATGATAGTGGTGATCAACTCTCTAATTGATGTGGCATGTAGATTTACATACTTGTCAACAAATATTTTGGTTGGTCCTCTTCCTTTAGGATTCCCTTACTACTAGTCTCCTAAATTTGAAATCTCTGCTTTCACCTTGCTCAAGTATTAAGTTAAAGTTGGGTCCCCAACTTCAAATTGACCCAAAATCTAAGTCACCACTTGGGAGTTGTTGAAGGCTATGTGCTTTCAAACCCCTTTGGATGAGTGTGAATTTTAGTTTTGTAAATACAGCCTTATACTCTGTTTGTTTGTTTGTTGCCTTAAATTTGAGTTTAATGGCATAGAACCAAATTGCTTCTTTAAGACCCTTTAGAGTGACACTGAATCTATGAATATTTATGTCACTATCTCCATCAACGACCATACATTAACAATTTTGATGTGTTTTGGAAATAAGAACAATGAAAGAAACAAGTAGAAACTGCAAGAATACAAAGATAGGGGCTGATTTTTTATAATCTCTTCAATAGAAAAGAATGATATAAGTGAACTAATCCCTCTGCCTCACATGACCTAATCCCCATGGTTCGGCATGTCCTCCTTCTCTGGTCATCCACTCCTCTAGCCAAAAGACATCCCATAGTGGTTTTCCACCCCATCACCTTCATAACGAAACTATCTTCCTGCTGCACCCCCCCTCTTTTTCCGATGGCCCACTCCCATTGACCGAAATGCCTCCCATAGTGGTCAGCCACCCTACCACCTTCATCAAAAAATTCCCTACTTGTTGTCCCCCCATCCAAAAACCCTGATTCGCACCTTATTGGAGCCCTAAAAGATGACTCTTGATGAAAGAAACTCTCTTGGTCGAATTTCTCCCATCCGATCTCCTTTCACTTAGATTTGGCCTAAGGAATCTTGGTTAGGGTTAGTAATCAGAACCACTAGTGGATTTTTGGATTGCATCTCAATGAGCTTCCTCATCTTTTTCTCCATCCCTCCCAATCGGCTCTTCATGCTTGCTTTGTTTAAAATTGTGTAGTATGAGGCTCGCCTTGAGGTCCGCCTCAGCGCAATTCCACTGAAAAACGCCTCAAGGTTTATGCCTTGACCTTTTTTTGTGTAGGCGCAGCTGTTGTCTCATTTTTGGGCTCTTGTAAGGTTATGGATTTTACCTTAGTTGGATTGGAGCCATTCATTTTCCTTCTTTTTTTATGCATTTGTTAGGCATCCATTCAAGGTATTAAAGTAATTCAGGTATAGTATTGTGAATGTTGTGATATTGTTGTCTTACATCCCCAAAATCTTTTCTACCCTTTTATAGTGTACCTGTTATGTCGAACCTCATAGTTTAACTTTGTTCTTCTTATGGAAGAAAATCCTTAGCAGTATTGTCTTCCAGAGGAATCAATGGCAATTGTCGTGTTATGATGATGTGGTTTTTTTAACAAAACTCATTTTTTTCATTAACCATTATTACTTTTAACATTTTTAGTGTGTTTGCAGGAAACAGAGAAGCTATGGATCATATGGAGAGGTCTCACGAGAGTCTTCATCCTCAGTTCACAGCAGCTATCCAACTGTCTTCAGTGGAAGAACCTCACTTTATCCCTGGAAACCGGCCTGCTAAACCACTATCTGATACTGTTGATCAGCCTCTTGATTTCCAGCCAAAATCCACATTTGGCCATGATCAGCATAAACAATTTGGCTATAGTCATGTTGCTTCTGCAGCAAATGAAGGAGTGATCGATCAAAATATAGTCGCCACATCTGTTCATGCTTGGAATTCAACAACGGTTCCAGTTGCTTCCTTTCCTCCAATTCCCTTAGCTCCATCTGGAACACAGGTGACACGTGGAAGTTTAAAGCACTGATGATATAGATGGAGATAGTAGTAGTTATTTCTATTAACAAGAACGGCTTAATTGGCCCTTTTTTCTTATTTCTTTAGAAAGAGTAGTTTAGTAATTAGGTTGCCTAGGTGTTAATAGACATTTGCATTTAAATACTCTTTTGTTATGTTTGGAAGGGGAGTTTTTTTAAGAATTAGTTTGAGGTTTTATCTTTTTTGGAAGGGGTTTCCTACCCTTGGGGTGGATTTTCCCTTATCTTGGAGGGGTGGCAAGCAGAGGAGATTGTAGTGGAGTCTGGGACTCCACCACAATAGATCACCGTTGCTCTTATCCTTTTCCATGACAATTCTTGACAAAAATAGTGGCTGGAATTTCCCTTCTTGCTGGAAGTTGTGGGTGGCTGGGCAGTTTTTGGTGATGGAAGTCAATGTTAGTTGAATTCTGGCCTATCAACAAGCAGTTGGATGATTGTATGCCAATTCTGATGACTAGTAGATCAATATGCTTTTCCACGATATTCACTGGTATTAGTTGTGACTGAAACACCACCGTAAGAAGGAAAACCAACAGCTTGATTTGTCTAGCAAGCCTGAGAGGAGTTTTTTGTTGCAATTCTTTCTTGTTTTGCCTTTCCAGTACAGAAACCAGAACTTTTTCTTCTAACAAAATTTCAAATAAGAAAACAACAAAGGGCACACAACAAAATGAATGTAAGGTTTAACCAATTCAACATTTCGAGAAACCTATATTCAAAGAAGTTTTTAATTCATCTTGAATCAATAAGTCCCAATGTGTTATATTTTTTTTCTATCATTAATTCTCTTATAGTTAACAGTGATTTATCTTCTATTGTCCTTTGAATTTGTTAAACCTCACATAAATTTTATTGCACAATTCCCTTTGTAGTTTTTTAATTTGAAATTTTTCATAAGAAACCCAATAAAAGTTTTCATTTCTCCATTGAAAGGGAAAAACAAGAAAGAACTGCAATAAAATTTCTCCCTAGGTCTGCCAAACAAATTTAGTTGCTGAGTTTTGTTCTTGCAGTGGTGTTTCCGTCGTAGTTACTACCGGTGAATATTGTGGAAAAATATATTGATATACTAGCAACCAAAATTGGCATACAATCCTAGCTTTTTGCTAGTAGACTAGATTTCAACGAGCATTGACTGCCAGACAACAAAAATTGCCCAACTGCCCACTATTTTTAGCCAGTAGGAAAATTCATGTCACTATTGCTGCCAAGAATCACCATGGAATGGGATAAGGGCGAGGGTGATCGCTGTTGGTGGAGTTCGGGACTCCACTAAGATCTCTTTTACTCACAACCCCTCCATGTTAAGGGAAAATCTACCCCAAGGGTAGGGAACTTATTCCCAATTAGGATTCTGAAAACTAATTCTAAAAAAAAAAATCCCTTCCTAACATAACTAGAGGTATTAAAGGGCAAACGCCTATTAATGCATTGACAACCTGATTATTAAACTGCCCTTTCTAAAAAAATAAGAGAAAAGGGACAATTAAGTAATTTTTGTTAAAAAATTGACTCTCCTATCTCTGTCTATGTCAGCTGATTGTCAATGAATGGCTTTTTGAATGTTTCTGTCATCTTTTTACAGTTTGATCCTTCGTTCGCATCCCAAGCTTCCCTCCCTGTCCACTCTACACCTGTGTTTGGGGGAATTGCTGCTCCAAGCTTTCAGGCTCCTGTTTCTCCTATCAGTGCACCATTTGTTCTTGGTGTCGGGGCATCTCTTCACTCCCCAGATTTTCCTGGAGATGGAAATGGCTCTTTTAGTCTTTCTGAGCGGCCAAAAAAGGTTAAGGATGTCTTCTTCTTGCTGCCATACATTATCCTCCAAATGTGACTTTTAAACTTTCCTCATAGTGATGTTCTTAGTATAATGCAGGCAGCAGTTCCTAATTGGCTGAGAGAAGAATTAATTAAGAAGAAATCTGCAATTACAAGTACCAATTTATTACATTCTGGGGTAGTTCAAATGGAAGACGCTGATATGTCTTTTAGAAAAACCGATCAAGCTGACAATCAGAGTTTAGATTCAAGGAGGTCTACTGAAGAAGAAGATGATGATGAGGTCTCGCCCCTTTACCTTGCTGGCATTGTTTGCTCTGGTTGCAGCATTTTTTCTTTAAATAGCAAACCAAATCCTTAAAAAAATGATTAACTGCTTTCCTGTTTGGACAAAAGGTTTATTTTTGCTATGTCTGGCTCTATCATATGTTTGTTTTTCTTTTTTTAACAGCTCGCTTAATTTATGATGTCTAGCAGAAAGCTTTATTATGTGATTCTCTATGATTGCATGATCGTTAATCACTTATTCTCTTTTTTCCTCAAATAGCTAAAACCTTACTTGTGCGGTGATATTTCTCCATTTTGATTGATTTATGAAAATAAGATACATAATAGTCACAGGAATTTGAAATGTGTCTGCTTTTGTAGCTTGTTATTCTTGTTGTTTGATATTTCTTCTAGTCCATATAATCATACATGTGGTTGTTTATATATATTTGTTGATCATTTTGGTCAATTTTGAATATATGTCTTAATTTTTCTGTTTGTCGAGCCATATCACTATTTAAGGTAATTTTTATTAAAAAGAAATCTTGATCCTTATGATTAAAAATTGCATATTGTACTTGACTGTTTTATTTTTATTTAATTCTTTATGCAACTGGTCCTTTTATGAAATTACCACTCTACCTGTTGACATTGCACTAGTTTGCCCAACAGTTAGCCAGCACTGGATATAATTGTTGCGGATGTGTGTGTGAGGAAGAGATAGATAGGAAGGGGTAAATGGTCTTCTCATGGCTGTATTAGAAATATATACGAAGTTTTTCCCTGAACAAATGAACACGATAGATGTGATACTTTTGCTACCGTGAAAGCTTACCCACCAAAATTGGAAATTGCTAAACATTTAACAATGTAATATGTATCCTTTCTTGTTAGGATGAAGTAGAAGCAGCAAGATCAGCAGCCATCAACCAAGAAATTAAGCGTGTTCTGACTGAAGTTCTTTTGAAGGTTTCCTACTCCAGGTCCTACTTGCACTATTGCTTTTAGTTCATTTATTTGGCGCTCATAGGTCTTTTTCTAATAGGTCACAGATGAACTGTTTGATGAAATTGCAACCAAAGTTCTTGATGAAGATGAACCCACTACGGATGGTGAGCACTTTATCAAGTACTTGTTCTCTGAATTATTTTTGGTGGTATATGTGTATTGTACCCCATGTAGTGGGATAAAGGCTTAACGTTCTTACTGTTGTATGTGCATTGTAACTCTTACTTTTCTGTTGCAGTTGTTGAGATTACCAGTTTTGGTAACCCTAAATTTTCTCCTCCAGCCATTCCAATCCCTAAGGCATCCTCTAAAATCCTAATTCCCCTGAGAGCTGAAAGTAGAAATGTTAATGATGCTAATGAAAAATCCAGTCCCAGCTCTGTTGGAGGTGATTTGTTGGGTCTTGCTAACTATGGTTCAGATGCTTCAGATGGTGATGATGATGATAATGAAAGTCAAGGAGCTCAGCCTAGGAAACTAGATAGTGCTTCTGATAATCTAGAAACAGCTGTTAGATCTTACGAGCATGCCCTGAAGGATGCGGAGACTGGAAAGGAAGCACTGTATGGTGATGCTAATGGTGATGTGCAGAAGGAAGGAAGGATATCTCTTCCAGAATCAAGTGAAAGGAAAAAGGTTGGGCAATTTCATGCTAACGTCCCAGGAGTTTCTGAAACTTCTGAGAAGACCAGTTCCGCTAACAGTGAAAGGGCTGGTGAATTCCGACAAGATGCAAAGTATCTTAAATCAGGTGGCACTGCTGGTAGCCAGGAGGGGGGAAGAAGACATGAATCTGTGCATGGTGACAGAACCAGCAGTGCGGAATGCCAGGATGGAGAAGCGAACATCTTACCTAGTGCTAATCGAAAACCAGACAAATGCCTGAATAATAAAGGCCTTATTAATGATGTAGCGGCTGGCTCTGGCTCTCACAAAAAAGATAATGAAAATAATAAGCATGGAGACAAACAAAAGGAAAACATAAGAAAAAGTGATAAGTTGTATGAGCGGGTTGGTGACAGGAACATAAAACAAGGGGCCATTGAGAGGGAAACTCATTCCAAAATTAGTTCTAAGACTGAGATTATAACAGATAGTAAAAAGGAGATTTCTAAAGATAAAGTAGAAAAAAAGAAAGATTATGAAAGGAGAAGTGAACGCAAAAGAGACAGAAAGGAGGATTATAAAAAAGATGGGAAGGAAGATCGATCAGAATTTGCAAGGGAAACATTGAGGCGCAACATTAGGTCTAAATCTCCTGTAAGACATGTAAAGGATAATTCTAAGAGCTGTCGTGGCAGTGCTTCTAGTGAGGAATCTTCTGATAATTCACGGAAGAGGTATGCTAACGTAAAAGTTGATTTTAGTTTTGCTTATTAGATTGAAATTGATAGGTTGGCTGTGTTGCAGGAAGTTGCAATTACGAGGAGCAAGTTTGTCAGCATCACCAAGATCTACAAAAAGGTATGGGAGATTTATATTTATAATCATTTTGCTCATTTCAACTGAAGGATTTTCTGGCCCTGTAAATCACAATCAGTTTCGTGTGTTTAGAATTTTGTTAAGCATGCCTTTTATATGGTTCTGAAGAGCAAATATGTCACTTTTTGGTGGTGCTTTACAATTGGTTATTTTAGTTTAACTTACCGTTAGTGGTTCATACTTTCAAACTGTCTTGTGTGTTTAGATTATCCGCCATTCTTTTAATTGCATTAAACATGTTAATTTGTCTTTGTTTATATGGTGCTTCATAAACAAATCCCGCTCAAATCCTCTATAGTTCGGCTGCAGCATCCCCTATAAGCGGCGTCGAATTTAGCCGCCCATCCTCGTGTGTGTAAATCCGCCTCGGTTAAACTCCGTGTTAGCGCTATTAATACAAGAGTTTGAAGCTCTCGATTTTGTTTTCTTCTTGCAACATGCCGCTCATGCTCTCTGCTCCCGTCGAAGCAGTTTGATCCCTCAACTCTCAGTCCAGTCGAACAACATTCGAGCCCTCCTCTTTGTCGAACTCCAGGACCGAACGCTCCTTCCTCCTTCACGCCGGCACCCACAGCCCCGATTAGGGGTGTAAGTGAACCGAGCCGGCTCGTGAGCAGGCTCGAGCTCGACTCGTTTATGGGCTCGCGAGCCGAGCTTATCGAGCTCGAGCTCAAACTCGAGAGCGGGTCGCGAGCCGGCTCGAACTCGATTTTAATGGGACGAGCTCGCTTTTTGAGATCGATTCGAGCTCGAGCTCGCTTTCCGACTAACGAGCTGAGCTCGTTAGTGTTAAAACTCGACTCAACTCAACTCATTTACACCCCTAGTCCCAATCCTTCCAATCTCCTCCTCCCTATTTGAACGCACGAGAGGCCGGTGAGTGAATTTTGGGAGCCCACAAATAGCAATCTATTTTATAAAATTACACTTGTTTCCCCTGTTTAATAGCAAGTTTACCTACCATTACAACTCTTACAACATGTTTTATGGTAATTTTACCGAGTAGTTATCCTATTTATTCTACAATATCAACAACATAGAGTAGTTATTCGATTTATTCTACAATATCAACAACATAGCACAACAACGCAACATTTCCAAATTGGGTTGAAAGCTCTTGTGGATGTTGCTGATAGATGTGGTACTATTCTTGCTTGTGTCTGAATTGTCGCTTCACTTTCCAACTTCGGCATTTGTACAATATGTTGTGGTTTCGTTTTAAAGCTAGCCTGAACACAATGTCTAGTGTTTATTGCAGATGAGTTTTGGCACGTGGCTTTGTATCTTACTTTTCAACTTACGACTTTCCTGGGAATGGCCTTTTTTTTACTGATGAAATAACCCATGGTATTGGCCCTGTTAACGGAAAACTTGGTGATTTTATATTATATTTCTTATTCCACTCGTGGTTTAAAATTGCGCAGTATGAGGCTTGCCTTGAGGCCCGCCTTTGCGCAATTCCAATAAAAATGCCTCGATGCTTATGCCTTGAGTTTTTTTTATGAGGCTTGCGCCTCAACTTAGTTGAGGCCCACCTTGAGGCCTGCCTCGCCTCACTGGCATGAGACTTACGCCTCACGCTATATATATATATTAAAACTTATATAAATCTTGAAGTAAATGCCTGCATTGGACTCTATAGGAGAGGAGGAAGGGGAGAGAGAAGTTCACCATAATGATGATTCAAATGAAGAACCCCTTAGTGATAACAGTGCTGATGACTTATGAGTTCTTATGTGATATGTCATTGCTATTTATTTTTGGAAATTGGAATTATATGTTAATGAAAAGAATACTGGGATTTGGGAAAGATAGAATTTTGAGTTGAACTATATTTCATATTGTCTTATTATTGAGATATTTTGATTTCACTTCATATCTTATGTTTTTTATGTTTTATATTATTCACTAATTAGTATATAAAAATTTATCATTTTATGTTTACGCAATCTTTTGATTTTGAGGCTTATGCCTCAAAACGCCTTGAGGCTTACGCCTCGCCTCACGAATGAAAAACGCCTCAATACCCGAATACGCAATTTTAAACATTGATTCCACTAAGGATTCGTGTAGTTGGCTCCACGTAGTGAGATAAAGACTGCTTGTTGTTGTTGTTGTAGTATTTTCCACTAATTTTTGGTAACATATCATTTTCCATCAAAATGTTTTCATTTGAAGGGAATGCTGTTGAAGTGTTTCCACTTGAAGGTAATGTTTTTGGCATCTTCTTAATAAATTTGCTAGAATGATATTGGTACTTATTTAAAGCATTTGGAAGGAAATCAAGAATCGAAAACATCTTAAAATTTGTGATCATCCTAATAGTTAAACTTTGAGTTGCCATTGGCTAGTTTAGTGCCCATTCTAAGCCAACTAAATCTAGTAGTCTGGCTCTCTCCACTTGCTACCTCATGCAAAAACATGGGTTTCTTGCTATTTTTACATGGAGTTTTATACGCCAGAAGTAGTGGTTATTATCTAATACGAGATTTCAGCTTAAAACTTTCTCTCAAAAATTAAATATAAGAGCAACTGCTAAATTTAAAAACTCCATGGATTTTAATTTGACAGCTTTCTCAATAGCAATGTTACCTTTTTTCCTTATTTTTTTGGGTTCAAGCCCCACAGTTTTAATGTTAACCCTTAAATCTAGTTTAGTGCCCATTCTAAGCCAACTAAATCTAGTAGGCTGGCTCTCTCCACTTGCTACCTCTTGCAAAAACATGGGTCTCTTGCTATTTTTACATGGAGTTTTATACGCCAGAAGTAGTGGTTATTATCTAATACGAGATTTTAGCTTAAAAATTTCTCTAAAAAATTAAATATAAGAGCAACTGCTAAATTTAAAAACTCCTTGGATTTTAATTTGACAGCTTTCTCAATAGCAATGTTACCTTTTTCCTTTTTTTTTTTGTGTTCAAGCCCCACAGTTTTAATGTTAACCCTTAAAACTTTGGGAACACTAAAGATCTTGTGAATGCTACTAACAAAAGTGGCATCTTCCTTGCTTGTGTCCTGAATTTTCCATGCCTCTGCTTCATCTTCCAAACTTCAGGATTAGCACAATTTGCTTGGGTTGCATTATAAAGAAGCCTGAACGCCATACCCTGTGTTTGCGGCAAATAAACACTTGGTCTTGGTTATGAACCCTTGTATCCAAACGGGAACAAACAATTTGCGGATTTTATTTATTTTCTTTTACCTTCTTATACGCTTTAGTAGCACATACAGTTCAAGATGTTACGATGTGAAGGGAATACTGTCTCTTATTAATTCAAAGACAAAAATCTCAATATGTAGGTTATTAACTCTCAGTTTTGGAAAAAAAAAAAAAAAAACTCTCAGTTTTGGCAAAAGAATAGTCATCTTTAATGAAAACAACAACATTCATCTTTCATTTTAAACAATCATGATAGTCTTAAAAATTTGAAATCTTACTAGAAAAATAAAGAATACATTTAAATCTGCTGCAATGACCAAGACTCCCATTACAAAAGAAATCCACACATCACACTTGAAGAAACTTGAATTATGCATAAAGACTATCCGCTTAACAAGTTAATAGCAAGAGCAAAGATAGAAAATTACCTAATGGAATCCAGCACATTAAGATTTTTTACTTTGTGAATTGTCACACAAACGTTGAATTTGAGAGTTTGTATTTTGCAATTTTTTTTTTTGCAGAAGGCATTGAAGGCCTAATTCAAATGTAGTATCAAATATCTTCACATAGTCTACAATCATTTGTTCACTCGTGAGAGTAGTTTTTATGTTGAATTATTTGATACTTTTTGTTTGGATATCATTTATTAAACTTTAGTCTCGTAACTCTCGTTAACTCCAGTCCTTGCAAGGAGAAGTTTCGAACTTGAAAATAAAGAATTTACAATTTTGTCCTATAGGCAAGGCGATGTAAAAGTAAATTTGACTCTTACATTTTCAGATATAGGTGTTCATTCTTCCAAGAAGGATTGCATAGTTCTTGTATTAGATTGAATTTTAATTTCAGTTTATTTTTTGTCAATAAAATATTCTCAGATGTGAATTTAAGCATTTAACACACTTGTCAGAGCACATGTAGGCTAGTTTGAATTTGAAAAAGGGGGATATCAAATTTCAAATTATTGTCACCTCTTGGAACAATTACATGCCTTTTGGAGCAGGAGAAATTTGAGTTTAGTTATATTAGCCCGTGCAATATTATCAATTTAAGATTTAGTAATTTAATGTATTAGTCAGAGCATATGTGGGTATATTGAGTTTACTGGTCGAATGTGTTGCACATGCTTTTTTGATGCATTTGCATGAAATATTTACATGTTTCTGTTAGACCGGTCCACTGAACTGGTCCAGCCGGTCCATACGAGACCGGCTTACGGGCAATAGAGGCGGAAATCCTCCGCCTACTATACGTGCTAATCGAACCGTCGGGACCAAAAGAGCTGTTTAGGAAGGTTTTTGGAGGGAGTTAGGAGGGAAATTTGAATGTAGGGATTGTTTAGATATTTCCTTTTGGATTGTATGCATTAAATAGTTTGTTTTCCTAGGGTTAGGGCATCTTGAATTTTACTTAAATTTGAGATCTCTTAGGTTTTTTTGGGCTCTGCGGCGTCTAGAGATTTGGGAGAGATAGATCCTCCTCTCAAATTGAGGATCAACTGTATCTTGTTATTTTCTTCCGTTCTATTTGATTCTAGCAATAAATTTTTTGTTTTCTCTGGTTTTCATTGGAGTTTGGAGGAAATTTTTCGCTGTTTTATCAAAGATTGATATGGATTCTTGATTACTTTAAGTGTTTCCTATCAAATTGGTATCAGAGCAATTTTCTGGGCTGAAATAGAAGTCTTCCTCTTTGATTTCTGTTGCGTTTTCCTCTCCGATCTCACTGATTTCTGCCGTTTGTAGGCCAAATTCATGTCAAACTTGTTGCTCTTTGTTATTGGAGACTAAATCCAGGTTTCCATGGCTGGAAGAAAAGTAGA